AGAGCAACCCTGTGCATGGAATCTGAACTCTGCCCTACCCTGTGCCATTCTCCTCGTCTCTGATGTAGGCACAGTATCAGTCCATCTCATCGAAGGTCTTCTCCTTTGCTTACCCTCCACCTTTCCAAGCATGATGTCCTTTTCCAAAGACTGGCCCTGCCTAACAACATGCCCAAAGTGTATGACGCTCCTAAAGTGGTAGTGATACATGCTTATTATAGACAAGTTAGAAATCTGCACGTTTTCAACAGAACAGAAAACACATTCAGAATGTCTTACTCAGAATAGATTAAATCCCAACTTTTTTTATTTTAAACCTCAACTTTAAAAATAATATCGTATTTCTTCATATTGGATGTAAGCCTTTGGATCCTGCTGCTTCTGGCTAACATTACAACATGAGCGTTTTTTCCATTTAGTATTTGCCTTTTTAAAAAAAGTTTGACTTTTCATCTACTTTTTCTAATAACAGCTTTATTGAGATGTGTTTTGCAGACAGCATGATTCCTCCCTTTAAAGCATATGATTCAGTGATTTCTGGTACAGTCACGGGATTGTACAGGCATCGCTACAACACATTCTAGAACCCTCACCTCTGAGCCGTCACTCCTCATTCCCTCCAGCCCCTCGGCCCAGGACCACCTCGGCCCACGCCCAGAGATCTGCTTTACAGATACGTGATTTTCACCAGTGGAGTGTTGGTGGCAACCGCTGTGGGGCAAGTCTGTCGACACCTCTTTTCCAACAGCATGTGCTCTCTGGGCACTCTTGTCTCTGTGGCACATTTGGTCATTCCCAGAATTATTCAGACTTTTTCATCTTGCTGTTGCAGCCCCTTTTACTCCCTCAAAACCACACAAACCTCAGAAAACAAATTAAATACTCAACCCATTGGCACAGAATTGATTCTGATTCCTGGAGACCCACCGTCAGGTTCCGAAGGCCAGACATCTCAGTGGGAACAGACTGTTTCATCCTTGTCTGGCAGAGTGGTGAGTGGGCTCAAACCACTGACCTTTCAGTTAGTCGAACCTTTTGGTTCTGACTCATGGCGACCCTCCTTCTGGCTTCTGAGGCTGTAATTCCCTGGAGGAGAGCACCTGTCGTTCTCCCATGGAGTGGCGGGTGGGCGTGAACTGACAACCTTTGCCTTAGCGGTGTGGTATGGGGTGTGTTCTGCCACCAGAGCATCCTGCAGCTGACCATGCAGTCTTTGGTGGTCCTGGTACCTGCCTGAAGCAGAGCCTGAGCCCCACTCGTCTGGGTTCCTGGCCTCCTGCCTGGGGCCGCACTGCCCGCATGCCACTGAGGCCATCAGTTGGAGAGGAGTGTGATGGTGGAGTGCGCTCGGGTTGTGGGTTCTGCCTGTGTGTGGGGGGGGTCCCAGACCTATTATCTGTGGAGCCCAGAGGCCTGGCCAGATGCAGGACAGCCCGCCAGTGGCCTGTTAGGGACAGGACAGTTGAGGACAGTAGCCCCAGGCCTCACCAGATACAGGGCAAGTGGTCAGTGGCCACGAGTTGAACCTTCACTGTGTGTATCAGTCTCACCTGCTCTAACACAGCCTGACCACCCTGGGCCCACTTGGCAGCTCCTGGTCCCCAGCCCGGGTTTTCTTCATGGCCTGTATCCATTCTCTCCTACTCTTCTTCTTGTTCAAGAATGGCTGTTACGTATCTTGAAACCCACGGCAGAAGGGCCTGGCAAGACGCTCCTGTAAATGTCACAGCCTAGAAAACTAAGAGGCAGCAGGGGTTGGTGTTCCCCAGTTCCCCCAGTGTGTGGTCACTCATGGTGTCACCCTCCCCCCTCCCCAGGCTATACAGGATCCTTAGTAATGTTGGTGATCAGGTTTTTTTTTAATAGGGCAAAATATGTAATTAACCAGCCTCAATGTGATTAACAACAGCTTCCAGTCACCAGGACACAGGTTCCCTCAACACCCTTCATCTTCTCTTCAGCTCCTCTGCTAAAGAATTTGTCTTCACAATGACGGGTTGCTTTGAAAGCCTATTCGAAAGACATACGTGACGGGAGTAGCCCCAGTCTTGTTTTTGGCAGTGTTCACACTTTTCTCTCACTGACCAAGGTCCATAATATGTCACAGTTGACAGTTGGGCAGAAGCTCTGATTCCTCTTTGGGTCGTAATGTCTTAGACCAGCCTTTCCTGAATAACCAGATGCTTTTAGTCTAGGTTGATCCTGTGGTGATATAAGCCACCTGTAATACCTCGGCCACCAGGGTGCTTTCCCTCGTGGCCATGGCTTATGTGGCCCCCATATTTCTGGGTCTTCCACAGTCTTGAAGGCATGTTGGCTGCCCACATGGAAAAAAAAAACCCAAACCTGATCAATTTGAATCATAGAGTACATGATGATAAACAGAACGGCAAGTTGGTAATGTAACGTTTCTTATCTTTCACATTGAGTTGTAACATTGCTGGTTTTGCACAATAAACTATTGTTGCTAACATACTGGAAAATTCGACAAGGTCAAACTCTTTCAAACTCATTGCTGTCAAGTCAGAACTGACTCCCAGCTGACCCCCCAGTGGGTTTCTGAGGTTGTAAACCACACAGAAGGGGAGTACCCGCCTTTCTTCTGTGGAGCACATGGATTTGAACCCCTGGAAAGGCTCAGCCTTTGCGTTAACAGTGCACCTCCCTATGGATTGTTTGTTGTTGTTATGTGCCATCGAGTCATTTGTGACTTATAGCGACCCTATGTACAGGAGCCCTAAACGCCGTTCTATCCTGTGCCAACCTCACTGTCTCAAACACATTCATTCCCACCACTCCACTCACAGAATCGATCCATCTCATAGAGGGTCTTCCTCTCCTGTGCTGCCGCTCCCCTCTCCCAAACATGATGTCCCTCTCCAAGGACCAGTCCCTCCTTGCAACATGCCCAGAGTATGTCAGACGAAGCTTCAGAATCCTTGACTCCAGCGAACATTCTGGCATCACCCTCTCCAGGACGAACCTGTTTGTTCTCCTAGCAGTCCATGGTATATTCAACACTCTTCTCCAGCACCAAAGCTCAAAGGCATCAATTCTCTATCATCCCTATTCACTGTCCAACTCTCTGATGCATAGCATGTAATTGCAAGGACTATAGCCTAGATCAGGCGCACCTTAGTCTCCAGCCTGACGTTGTTGCACTTCAGTACTCTTGAGAGGTCCCTCACAGCTGACTTTCCCAATGCAGTTCATCTCCTGATTTCCTGGGTGCTGTTACCAAGAGTGTTGACTGTGGAGCCAAGCAAACTAAAACTAACTATCTCAATCTCTTCATCCATACTGATGCTGCCAATTGGCCCAGTGGTGAGATTCCTTGTTTTCTTGATACTGAGCTTCAATCCATATTGAAGACTGCAGTCCTTGACCTTCTGCAGCAAACACTTCAGGTCCTCCTCAGTTTCAGTGAGCAGGGTTGTGTCACCTGCATAACACACACAGGTTGTTGACGATTCTTCCACCAATCCTGATGCCACATTCCTCCTCATACAGCCCAGCGTCTCGGATGATCTGTTCTGCATACAGATTGAAAAGGTCTGGAGACAAAATACATCCCTGACGGACCCCTTATATTAGCTCACCTGATTTTCTGGTTCTTGTTTTTAATGTCTTACTGTGGTTTGGGTTTTCTGAACAAATTATTTTTCTGTTCAACAGTGAACATCTTGCTTTGTGACACTGGTTCCTGTCCCCTCAGTGTGACTGCACTCAGCGCACCCCCTCTCTGTGCTCCCCGGTCCTGTTTGTTGTTCTTACCTGCATCTCCCTGTCTCCGTATTTCATTTTTGAGCATCCACTGTCCTCTGGATCTAGTGGACACTCACCGGGCCTTGTCCTTGTGGAGAGGACGCTGTGCTGTGGACACACGCACCATCTCACCCTCCCTCGCCTCTCTCCCAGAGAGCCGTCCAACTTCTTCCCCTGCTGTTACTGTTGTGCAATGTCGAGTTGGAATAGACTCACAGATGACCCCTCAGCAGGCTTTTAAAGACAATCACATGAGAAGAGATTACCCATCAACTCCCACATAGCATCTGGTGGATCTGAACTGCATTCCTTTGGGGTGACAGTGCAGCTCTGTACCCCTAGGCCACCAGCACGTCCCTCTTCCACTAGCAGATAACTTCTCACCAGGAACAAAAGCGCCGAATCCCCACAGCCCTGACTGTGTACACCCACAACAGGCCCACGCTTCCTGAGAGCGGCTCCCCCTGAGATATGCCTTCCTGCGCACTGCCGTCGTGTGAGTTCCAGGTCACAGGGACCCGGCAGGACAGAGGGCCCTGCCCGTAGGTTTTCCAGGCTGGGATCTTTATGGAAGCAGACCGCCTTATCCTTCTCCTTAACAGCTTGTGTGTTTGAACCTCCGACCTTCTGATTCTCAGCTGAGTGCCTAACAACTCTACCACCTGGGCTGTTCTTATGTTATTAGCACCTCTTATTTGATAGAAGAGGAGTCTGATGTTTTAGGGAGCGAAGAATTTGCCCCAGGTCACAGCTGGTCAGAGGTTGAACTGGAACATAAACCTAGGTTTATTGGGCCCTGAATCCAACCTCCTGCCTTTCCTCTTGCTGTCTTCCCACGTGGCATCTCCAGTGGTGGCGTCTCTGTTTTCAGTGCCTAAGTTTTGCAGGTGCTCTGTGGCACTTGAGGCAGGTCCTAGCATAAGGCTAGGCCCTTGTCGGTCTGGTGTTTGACGTTTGTATGTCGGTACTAGCACGTGACATACCCCCACCCGCCGCATATAGTTCAGACAGGTCCTCAGGACCAGTGAGAAGGTTCACGCGTGTTCCTCCCTCACCTGTTTGTCTTTTCTCATTCAGGGTCAAGGCAGAAGGTCCAAGGACTGGGGGAGACCTCCGAAGGTCGCAGCTGAGGCCCTTCTGTGGGAACACTGCTGTGGGAGCTGCAACACCCCCGTCAGGAGGAATCCCCTGTGAGGCCCTGTGGCCTGTCCGGAGTGCACTGCCAGCGGCAAAGCATGTTCAGCCCGGCGGTGGTCCTTAATGGCCCCGTTGCTGACCCTGACCTCCGCGTGGGGGTCACTGACAGGGCCGAAAACAAACAGCTACAGGGTGCCCTGGAGCCCCGCCCTGGTACCAGAGTCCGGGTCCGACACGCGTCCCTCAGCATTAAGGACAAGATCTCTGAATGGGAGGGGAAAAGGGACCCGGCCACCCCTGCCCTGGACAGGAGAACAGAGGGACAGAAGGCTGACCGAGCATCCTGGGCACCTGAGAGGAGGAGAGGCAGCGATGGCGTGAGGACGTGGGCCCCTGAGGCCAAGCTTGGTTCTCAGCCAGACACTGAGGATGTGGAGAACCCCAGGAACCAAGGGCCAGGGAGGGCCGAAGGTCAGCATTCCCAGAAGAACAGCCTGTCAGTGCTGACACATGTCAGGAGGCTGGAACAGGCCTTGAAGGATGGCTCTGCGGGGCTGGACCCCCAGCTCCCTGGTACCTGCTACTCCCCGCACTGCCTGCCTGACAAGACGGACGAGGGGCCCAGCCTCCCTGACAGCCGTGCGGGCAGCTGCGAACCAGGCCGCTGGCCCCTGGACATGGGAACCCGGTCACCCACCCCTGAGTCCTCAAGACCCTGGGACCAGAGCCAGGAGAGTGTATATGGAGGTTGTGAGGGGTCCCCCCCAAGGCCTTTTGTGAACCCCCTGCCCAAGCCACGGAGAACGTTCAAACATGAGGGAGATGGGGCCAGGGTCAGGAGACCTGGCGTCAGTATCCGGAGAGAGAAGAGAAGCCTGCCACCTCTGCCCTCCTGTCCACCCCCACCCCTGCCCTCTTCTCCACCCCCGCCCTCTGTAAACAGAAGGCTCTGGAACGGGAGGCAGCGGTCCAATGCTGATCACAGGTAGGTGACAGGCAGGTGGCACACAGCTGTAACGGCTCAGCTCGTCCATGGAGCTGGTGCATTTTAACAGCCCCTGCTCACACCCTGACAATGTGGCCTATGGGTCGAACCTGCAAACGTGATAACTGGGGGGTGTGTGTGTGTGTGTGTGTGCGCGCGTGTGCCTACACTTGTTTCCAGCCCTCCCAAAAGGAGTGTGTGGTTTTGAAAAATATCCTATGGGTGTTAAAACTTAACCCATTCATGGCTGTCCTCTGCATGTCATTAGGACCGTTTGCTACAGTCAATAGCTGATTTCTTGAAAGGACATTGCCACACCCTTCTCCAAGTGTCCTCTGACGGGCTCCGTCCTCAGCCTTTGAAGAAGCAGCATAACAGTTTGAGCCACCCAGAGACTGTGTAGTTAGGTGCCAGCGAGTTGACTACAGCTCCTAGGAACCCAGGTGCAGTGGACAGAAATCTGGCCGAGTCCTGCTCCATTCTCACAGTCCCCAGTGTGCTGCTAAGCCCACGTTCACAGTCACTGGCTCAGCCCGTCTCCTTCTCTGCCCGTCCACCTGCCCAAACGTGATGTGTTTTCTGAGGTCCCTACTGGCAACATGCGAGATGGAGATTCACTGTCCTTGTCTCTTACGGAGCACTCTGACTGCCCTTCTGTCAACACATACTTCTTCGTTCTTTTGGCAGCCAAAGTCAGTGGTCTTCAGCATGAAAGGCATCAGTTCTTGGGTCTTCCTTACTGCCCAGCTTTCACATGCATATGAAACAACTGAAAATACATACCTTGAATCAGGCATTCCTTAGTCTTTATTCTAACAGCCTTGCTCTTTAACTCTCTAAAGATTAAGAAGAAGGCCTAGCCATCCACTTCTGAAATAACAGGCCCTCCGAAACCCTGCCACCAGCAGCAGAGCGTTGTCTGATACAGTGTTGGCTGTGAGCCACTCAGGTTGGGAGACTGAGAAAGGCATTGCCTCTTCAGAGTGGTTGTTGTTGTTATGTGCCGTCGAGTTGCTTGCGACTCATAGCGACCCTATGTACAACAGCCCTAAACTCCGCTCTGTCCTGTGTCAATCGCACTGTCTCTGACACTCCTAACCCAATTATCCCAGTCACTGAATCAATCC